GATAGATGGATAGATGGATAGATGGATGGATAGATGGATAGATGGATAGATGGATGGATAGATGGATAGATAGATAGATAGATGGTTAACTAGATGATAGATGGATAGATAGATGATAGATGGATAGATGGATAGATGGATGGATAGATGATAGATGAATGGATGGATAGATGGATGGATAGATGGATAGATAAATAGATAGATGGATAGATAGATGGATAGATAGATGATAGATAGATAGATAGATAGATTGATTGATTGATTTTGGTTTTTGCTCTGCTCTGTGAATGAAACAGCCGTTTCCTTGACCATCCATATTGTTATGATCATTATTTTTAAATAAAACCCATGTATACTGTAAAACTATTGTACACAATACAAATCACTACCTAAATAGATGTACGTGATATTAAATAGCATTTTTTTATGAATTGCTTTTGGTAGTAGAAATATTTCTCTGCACGAACAGCGTTCCCCCTTTACATGCACAGACCGTCTGTGTGTGTGAAAGACAAGTGTACACAAGCACAGTTGTGTATCCTGGAAGGAAGGTATTACACTGAATTACCTCAACACTGACATCACTGTGGGTTTGAGTTGACAAATTACTATTGCTGTTTGACAAAAACACTCCTGACCACACTGTTATTGTAGACGACGGAAACAACAACGGCTATGTCAACTTTTTTTTTTAAAGAAATGTTTCTAAAGAAAACAAAAGCACACAAGCAAATGTGTCAACGGTGAGTTATTCAGCATTGAATTGATTTTACGCATTTACAGAAATGATACATTATTATATTCAACAAACAATCTCTCAACCGATGAATTAGAAGATTTGGAAAACAAAATGACAAGTTTCCATTATCCGTTGGGTTTGGATTAGTTAAAACACAATAATAAAGCAAATAATTTTCCCTATATGGACGAAAAAGTGTAATTTCAATATAGAAATGATTTTATTTACATTTTATTGCAACTTTACTCATTACCGATGTTGTTATTTTAACGGGTTAAAACAAATATATCCTTTAAAAAAAATTGGACACTCTAATGGATATGTGTCAAACTCAAGGCCTGGGGGCCAATTGCGGCCCGCCAAGCCGTTTTGTGTAGCCCGTGGGAGCTTAAACATTTAGAATGATATTTGATCATTTTTCTTTAAGAAAAATAGACCTTAATAATATCTATTTAGGTTCATGGAGTAAAGATTTGTCATCATTAGTCGTCATGGCTTCTCTGTTGCTAGCAAAACATGCTAATGTTCCTCATCCTCCGCAACACAATTCTCTCTTACCGCAACAATTTTAAGCCAAGATTTCAATCTCCACTACATGAGATAGTGCCAATATTTCAACGTGATAGTCCAAAAAACCACACTGTTTACATTTATGTGATCTGTTTACTTGTGTACTACGGTCCATTTGTTTACATGTGCATGCAGACCGAAGGAATAGCCACCGTTGTGTTTGTAGCCACAGGTTATAACAGGTACTTAACTAAACGAACAGAGCTGTTTTGTTCCTAGCTCCAGTAATGATAAGGTTCCTACAGCTTTATTACCCGTTTGTATCAAACTTAATTATCGTCGGTGGCGCTGCGATTTCCACAAACACGTACACGCTACATGGTGTTTTGCTGACAGTTCTGCTTCCTCATCCCCTCCTTCTCATCCTCGTATATGTGACTCACTGTCAGGTGGAACAGCTGTAAGCAGAACAAACAGGGGGCAAACAACTGCACGGCCAACCAGAACCAGACGCCCTCGCCCGAGGGGGAGAAGCTGCACAGCGACAGCGGCATCTCCGTGGACAGTCAGAGTCTGCAGGAGCAGCAGGGACAGACTCAGGCACACACAGGTGAACGCTCACTCAACACAGCAGTCCTCGTGTATTACCTGGGGCGGCTGTTTTCGATACTCAGGGTCAGCATTGGTCCAAATTTTAGGATCAAAAAAACAACTAAAGCCCATCCAACCCGATAACCCTAAGTGCACTAAGTACATTCTCAATTTAACTGAGTTGACAAATTACTATTGCTGTTTGACAAAAACACTCCTGACCACACTGTTATTGTAGACGACGGAAACAACAACGGCTATGTCAACTTTTTTTTTTAAAGAAATGTTTCTAAAGAAAACAAAAGCACACAAGCAAATGTGTCAACGGTGAGTTATTCAGCATTGAATTGATTTTACGCATTTACAGAAATGATACATTATTATATTCAACAAACAATCTCTCAACCGATGAATTAGAAGATTTGGAAAACAAAATGACAAGTTTCCATTATCCGTTGGGTTTGGATTAGTTAAAACACAATAATAAAGCAAATAATTTTCCCTATATGGACGAAAAAGTGTAATTTCAATATAGAAATGATTTTATTTACATTTTATTGCAACTTTACTCATTACCGATGTTGTTATTTTAACGGGTTAAAACAAATATATCCTTTAAAAAAAATTGGACACTCTAATGCATATGTGTCAAACTCAAGGCCTGGGGGCCAATTGCGGCCCGCCAAGCCGTTTTGTGTAGCCCGTGGGAGCTTAAACATTTAGAATGATATTTGATCATTTTTCTTTAAGAAAAATAGACCTTAATAATATCTATTTAGGTTCATGGAGTAAAGATTTGTCATCATTAGTCGTCATGGCTTCTCTGTTGCTAGCAAAACATGCTAATGTTCCTCATCCTCCGCAACACAATTCTCTCTTACCGCAACAATTTTAAGCCAAGATTTCAATCTCCACTACATGAGATAGTGCCAATATTTCAACGTGATAGTCCAAAAAACCACACTGTTTACATTTATGTGATCTGTTTACTTGTGTACTACGGTCCATTTGTTTACATGTGCATGCAGACCGAAGGAATAGCCACCGTTGTGTTTGTAGCCACAGGTTATAACAGGTACTTAACTAAACGAACAGAGCTGTTTTGTTCCTAGCTCCAGTAATGATAAGGTTCCTACAGCTTTATTACCCGTTTGTATCAAACTTAATTATCGTCGGTGGCGCTGCGATTTCCACAAACACGTACACGCTACATGGTGTTTTGCTGACAGTTCTGCTTCCTCATCCCCTCCTTCTCATCCTCGTATATGTGACTCACTGTCAGGTGGAACAGCTGTAAGCAGAACAAACAGGGGGCAAACAACTGCACGGCCAACCAGAACCAGACGCCCTCGCCCGAGGGGGAGAAGCTGCACAGCGACAGCGGCATCTCCGTGGACAGTCAGAGTCTGCAGGAGCAGCAGGGACAGACTCAGGCACACACAGGTGAACGCTCACTCAACACAGCAGTCCTCGTGTATTACCTGGGGCGGCTGTTTTCGATACTCAGGGTCAGCATTGGTCCAAATTTTAGGATCAAAAAAACAACTAAAGCCCATCCAACCCGTTAACCCTAAGCGCACATTCTCAACTTAACGTTGCATGACAAACTTAACCCTCCCGTTGCGAGTGTCCTAATGTGAAATTATAATACTAAACTGCCCCACAGTGTCGAGGGCAAGAGTTTCACTCAGATCTGATCCACCTGGAGATCCCCACCTTCATATACAACCCGGGAAATGTACTGTAGAATATCAGCAAACAGTGATTAGATCATTGACAGGCTAGAAGGCATGTCTTAACCAGTGTTCTTTCAAATTATATAGGGAGATATCAGCAGGTAGAGTGATGATACTCATAGTTACCGTCATGATTTTCTGTTCTGTGTGACTTATCAGGGATTATGTTACAGTTTTTCAGTTGTTTGTTTTTTTGGAGTCCGACCAAAGCAGAAGATCCTGACTTAAATATTATTGTTTTCTTCCAGTTCAGAAAGGCAATCAAGGTGAATTATTCCTACTATAAGCAGAAGAAATAATAATTTGGAATCCTATGTGGCCTTTTGTTATTTTTTACTCTTTAGACCAGGGATCCCAAACTACTAAAAAAAAATAGATATTTTTCAAAAAGTAGTAGTTTGGTTCAATATAAATAAAACATGGATGGATTAATAAAACAGAGCAAAAATTGTGCACAATAATTATCTGACCTTTGAAATGAACAGCTACAGGTACATATCATTTTTCCCCATGGGCAAAATTAAATTATTATTGGCATCTAAATGCTTGCACTGCAAGTGGCCCCCGGGCCAGAGTTTGACGCCACTGCATTATATGATTGTTTGATTGTTTGCGAGTCGGGCCTCACTTTTCTCAACTTTACGCTTTTCATTTACAGAACACTTTAAGAACAGCAGCGCTGTTGTTCACACAAACAAGTGAACTGAACTGAAATGAAACACAAACAAAATGGTTGGGCTTTCAATGATGAAGCATGGTTCCCCTCAACCCTCACTTTGTCTTCGGAATAACTGACCTGAGGAAATGTGATGGGGCATATTGCAAGGAACATGATGACATTTCAAAACAAACAACAATGTTAAAAAAAAACAATCCTAGGAGCCAATGACGTGAAGCTGAAATTGGGGGAATATGCACTTGTGTTTTTTGGCACCAGTTAAAAGGGAAGCAGCAGCGTTTAAACCTGCTGCAGTTGAGCAAGAAGCACCTGGACAAGCTGCGATAAAAGCATGGAATAAAATCCAAACAAACAAGTGTATGTTTGTTTTTTCCATATCAGATATTGTCTTAGAGAACCCAGATCGACATTAGTTACGAAACCATCACAAGGCCTCAAACATGACTTTGATCTTTTGTTTATCAAAATGCAAAAAAAAAAAAAAAAAAAAAAATAATGTTTTTTTTTTTTCAACATGTTCATGTAATGTTTTCAGCAATGCACTCTAAAAGTTGGCACGGAGTGAGCATTTTTCCTATTCAGTGGCCCATAAATCTGGCTGTCATCAGCATAGAAATGGAAAACAATGTGATATGTTATAGCAAGCATTAGCAGTAGCTTACTTTGAAAGTATCAACCTTACCTTAACCTGTAGAGCACACCTGGGCAAACTATGGCCCGTGGGCCGTAGGCTTTCTGATCTGGCCCATCAAACACTGGAACAAGGTATGGTAAGGACTGATGTCAATCCTTCTGTTTCATGCTTTACAACGTATCATCTGTCTCTAAATGGCAGCAGACATCAGATGTGTCAAATGATTTGGTCCAGCATTCTACATCCAACTAATAAAAAAGCATTCTACATCCAACTAATACTGAACAGGCCCTAAAAAAATATATCTCAAAATCTCTCATTTCTTTGAGCCAAAAAGTTTGCCCACTAGCTCCATCTTGGCTTTTATTCTGAAATCCCATTTCTTTACTCTAGTTGTCAATCATCTCAACTCCAAATGTATACGTTTATCGAGTGGAAAAACGTTTCCCCTAGTTTCCATCTAGCGATGACTGCGATCATGTAACCTTCATCTCGACTTCCATCTTGTTCCTCTGCAGTGGTCTCCATGGACGAGGAGCCCTGTTTGCTACTTCCCATGCACACCAGGGAGAAAGTGGAGAAGCTGTTGTACCGGGGCAGTGAAGGAGACACTGCCGAGCACACGGACGACAGTGACTGGTGCAACCTGGCGGGACTTCTGGGGTACGAAGAGGAGCGCATTGCCTCTTTTCAGAAGGAGGAGCATCCTGTACGTGCACTCTTGTCTGACTGGGCGAGCAAAGACTGTGCCAGCCTCGAAACCCTGTGCACGGCGCTGCGCAAGATCAACAGGAACGACATCGCCCAGAGTCTGGTGCTCAGCCCTTCTGCTGCGAAGCCCACCGCCACGTCTGTGGTTTAATTTAAGTCCACGTGAGCAAAACACCCTCCAAATACCACAATCATACCCTTCCCTGTCCTCCCCTTAGTGCAAGAGCTGCTGTAGTAATTACTCCACGAAGCCAGCAGTCACAGTCAATTGTGATATATAATTTCATATTGAATCTAAGGTTCAACTTCCAGTAAATGAATGGTTATCAGTGCGTAGAGAGCAGTCGGTGGGCCTCATTTAATGGGCCTGGAAAACTACAACCTTCTCCGCGCAGCTTTTCGAATTCAGTTTCGGCGTCAGAGTCGACTTAAGTCGCAAAGCTGCTGCAGCCTAGCTGTGCGCGTGTAGCTGTGCGTGTGTAGCTGTACGGTTCGTGATCCCCGGCCTCTCTGCTTCAACCATCAAACTCCTCGATAAGCTATCGTTGTACCTGTTACCAAAGAGGAGCGAAAGTCTCCAGACCACATCTGGACGAGTAGCATTACTTCCAAGCCATCGTAGAGTTTTTGAATTCAGTTTGAGAAACGTGCCTGGTTCTTTTTTTTTTTTCGCAGACTAAACCTGTGCACTATAAAATATCTGGATCTTCGCAAAGGTGACAATCTGCCCAACCATGTTTGGACCTTCTCCCCTACGAGCCTGCTCTTCATCAAACCGTGTTGACATAAGCCCAGTCCAAGCTTAAGTGAACTCTTAAGGCGTTTTTTTTTTTTTTTGGTCCGGTGTGGATATGCCAACCAGGTGAAATCAACATTAAGACTCCAGACTACTACTCAGGTCTGTCTACGAGAATAATGAGCTTCTGTTGATTCCTTCATGCTGACCTAGTGCTACTCCAAACCTAATGTATCCAATACCATCCATCTATACCGTATGTACAGGGAAAGCACTTACACACAGCCAGTACAGGCAGCACAGTTTGTACAGACAACCGTCCCCACGCCCACATTATGTAGCGACTTATGCATGTAGTCACAAACACTCCGATCATGTACGCACATTCCTCCTCATTTAATCTAAACCACACACCCATCCTCATTTTCTGTCCCGTACACCACCGAGCTGTCTCGTAACGTGACCGTACACTGTTTATTCAGACTGGGGGAAAAAAACTTAAGTCTTAAAAAAATGTACATGGTAAAATGAAGCATTGACAGTAAACAAGCATGGATTTTGGGGAAAAAAAGAGAAAAAAAAAAGTCAATTTAGTGCACAAGTTACAAATGCTCAGATGGTACGAAGTGATCAGGTTGCACAGCAAAAAATCCTGGTCTGCCTGTTCATCCTTCCCTCTTTTCTCAGGGTCTTTACAATGACTATGCTACAAAAAAAAAAGAAGAAAAGAAAAAAAACAGACTAAAATCTGCTGCGTTCTTCCCTTTAATAGCAGGGTCTTTACAATGACTATGCTACAATGCGTTCTTCCCTTTAATATTAACGAATATTTCTCATATTTAAACATTCATCAGATCAATAGATTTTCTGTTGTAGTCTATCTAGTGAAAAACATTTAAGCTTCTCCTTCTGTACTTCCTGAACTCCCACAACACAATACTTAGACCAGTGACGTTCCATAAATGATGAAGGCCATGGGTGTTGTGAAACAAATTCAAAACTGTCCAGTCATTTCTGACCCAGGTTTACACAAAAATACTTGATCCTGTCACAACTGATGGTATTGCCTATAAATCAACTCACAGGACACAAGGAACAGAAAACAGAAATACTGTAGCAACGTGTTTAACCCAAGCAGCCATTCTTGCGACTGACAATCCTTCAGACATGTGAATGAGAGCGGGAAGCTGCAGACAGAGGGAAGAAAAAAAAAAAAAGGATCAGGACGGTGTCCTGTTTCCCTCATTGTTTGCATCAATGGCCTCTAGATAAAAGACTAGTCAGAAAAGACATAAGTAAAATGGAGCTGATTTGATACACAGAGGGGGAAAGGACGTTTTGGATTACCCAGATGTAAAGAGGAAACCCAGGAAGATGCGTTGGCATTAATCTGCTCATACGTACATTGGCTCCTGTCTTGGAATTATGTAGGTTGTGTTACTTCGCACACTTTTTTTTAAGCGGTAATTGTCAAAGCATACTGTACCATGGTTTGAGATCGTACTGCCAACTGGTCTTCTTCTATATCCTTTTTCAAATCGATTTGTTAGCGAGCACATGAATTGAGCTTCACATTGTGGCGTTACTTAAAATGAAGGTATCCTCACCTAACTCCTGTAAATGGTATTACATTTTCTTAAGTTGTCTTAGATTTTAGCACTTAAACATGTTTTGCATCACAAGTGACACCGGAACTGTTTCCAGTGTCGGCTGATGTTGTATATTTGTTTCAATAATTTTATACCTGTGTTTTTAAATGTGTAAAAATGTTTTTATTTTTTTTCCTCTACACTATATGAATGGGATTTTGTGACTTTATTTCTGTTGTAAAGCAAGAGCTGGGGATGATAAAGCCATTTGTTACCACTAATCACTCACCATAGGTGCATTGAGGTCATGTGACTCCCATACATTAGGAATATAGAAGTATAAAAGTGTCATAATTCCATTCTCGATTATAGAAGCGGAGGTACATTTTGGCTGAGAAGACACCGTATGTTCGTGCGGTAAACTAAGCTACAACCAGGATGTTAAGCTCAGCATAAGTAGTGCCAGCCCGTTAATAAACAGTACCTTAATTAATTATTAATTATCAATTATTCCTACGTCCCCCCTGATGCTGTCCTTGAGAAACTGTGCACGGAAAGGTTTAGGAAATTTGAATATTATCAGTCTGTGTAAGATTTATTGGCAGATACCAAATAAACACTACTACCCATAAGTGTTTGCTTCAGCATGTACTGTTTTAATTAATTCATTTTTAATTAATCATTAATCAATTAATATTATTCATTCATAACAGGCCCTTAGAAATTTGACAATTACATTAGTCAGCTTGTCAGTCTGACTGGAAATGGTGTGGTCCTTAAATCTAAGTCATCTTAAGTAGGGAGGTCCGATAATATCGACCAACCACGATGTTAGCATACTTACTAGCATATGTAACTAGCATATGTAATATCTGTAAAAAATCAGAAATTAAGTGTTTGGACAATATTGACGTTTTTTGGCAAAAAGTTAGTAATCGCTATTAAGTGTTTGGACAATATTGACGTTTTCGGACATTGGCAAAAAGTTAGTATCGGACATCGCTAATCCAAAATTGTCTGCAATCCTATTTTTAAGGACTTAGGACTTGACTCTGACTGCAACGCGGAAAACTTGGACATGGACATTAACTCAAAATGCAGAATCAAACCGAACAGCCAATGACTCCGACTTTGTACGTGATTCAAAAAAACATAAACAAATGGCTTTCCAGTTAAATTCCACTGTTTAGTTGGAAGTCGATTTGGAATTATACTGTATGAACTCATTAAATGTATGAGTAGAAGCGGTGGTTTGTGTGTTTATACTGCGCTAGTACGACAAATACTGTATGGTCCAGTGTAACACAGCCGCAGGATAACGATAATCCATTCAATATCTCAGCCTTAATGAGACAAAGACAGTGAATACACTTTAGCTTTTTCATACGAGCTAGCTAACCATTAGCAGAGAAATTACTACGATACGATTAAATGAAAACACTCCACAATTATATCGACATGTTTACATTTTATGAATGAATAAGTGATCCTTTCAGTTGTCATTTTTGTTCAGTGATTAGACTCAGCTCTGAACACAGTCGACTTAGGGCCCCGCCTCTAACACTCCCATCCTTAAAGAGCAGTCAGTATGAAGATTGAAGTTTTTCTTTGGGAATATTTATTTTTGCTTTACAAAAATGTAAAATCAATGAAAAATATTTTTTTGTATGGTAAATAAACTTGAAGGTAAATGGTTGCCGTCTACTACAATAACCATGCAGATGGGAGGAGGAAATGTAATTTAGATTGATAGGAATTGACTGTACAGGTGAGTAATACTCCATGGTCCTTTGTGTGCTTATACCTATACTGTACTATACTTCGTGTAAATCAGGAGTAAAACCACTAATAAAGCTCTTAAATCCGCAGATGCGCTGTATTGGTCCAGTGATACACAAACACAAACTTGCAGACTAACACACACACACTGTTGTTTAGGTGAGGTTGTGAAAGACAATGTCGTACAGCACAGCAAGACTGAGCATAGCCAGAATACCATGTTTCTCTCAGGTATTTATCTGAAAGCAACCCGTGGTGTCCAGACACGCTGCTCAAGCCAGTTTGACGGAACGCATCTTAAAAGTTGTCCCCGGTCCCCTGGATTGACACGTGGCTTGACTTTCCCGACTCAGTCATCACACTGTAGACGGGGTTTTTCAAAATAAACCTACTTAATTTCTTTGCTTAGGTTTCCAACCCCCAAGGGTTTTGCTCGGATACCGTGGTTTTCCACACGGATGTGGTGTCAGGACAGAGACCTTCTGTTTGTCTCTCATTTTTAGAAGACACCCTACTCTCCCTCTTCCGGGAGTCTCTCCTCAAAATACCAACTGCAGTCCAAGAGCCAAAAAGAGGCTGAAACAGGAGGTGATCTCGGATGTCCTAGCTCTCAGATTTCTGTTACCTGGACCAAGAACTTGATGTGAGAGGAGTTTGTAAACAAGGCTTTGTGTCTTCTTTACTTTGTCTCCTTTTTCAGTGTGTGCATGTGTACCAAGCATTTTTACTCCCTAGCCAGGATAGAGTTCAACGTTCCCTTCACCTTTGCTATGGTCCATTATGTGACCCTGCAGTGGACTACTGTACTGTCCAGGCTGTCCCTTGACCCTGACAAGGATTGATTAGTTAAGGCTAAATGAAGGAACAGCAACTTAAATACTTTGGTTCTGACCCAGTCTGTGTCCAGGATCTGTTTCTTTGTGACCCGTGGCACAAATGGAAAACACATTTCCGGCTTGTTGCTGCTGTTAACCTCCAGCGAGTTGTTAGTGAGGAATGCTGAAGTGTGAACCGAACCATGTGTGCAGGGGTGACATGTGGTGGTGAAAGAGAACAGCCTGGCTGAACAGATGAGTAGTTTACTACAGGGTGGGGAAAAAGTCACAGTAAGGGCCACTACATCAGTCAACAAACTCACTCAAGTTTTGTGCTTTTACTGCATGTCAACAGGGAGTACTAAAGTACATAATCCTTTTCTACAATGACTTACTTATTTAGGATGTTGCATCCACTTTTCCAATCAAAAGTCCAGATCTTATGCCTTTTTCAAGATACATATCAGACCTCAATACTTGCCAAGACTTAACCTGACCTTGAAATTTATTTTTATGGTCTCAATGTTCAATGAATAAAAAACAGTATCTTTTTAAGGAAATTATTTAGCTATTTTTTTGGTATTCTGAACAAATTAAGACCCCTGCAGATGCCACACGAGGTGTCTTGAGGGACAAGTGGGAACTTGAGAATTCACGTAGTCTGGTTCATCACAATTATTATAAAAATTTAAATAAAATACAAAATACTTAGATCTCCCATCTTCCTCCAAATTTGAAGACCACTGAGATAACGTAGCGTATGCACTGGGAAAGTATAGTTATTGTAGAAGTACAACATGTGTTTGCACAATCTCAGTTAAATATTGTGAATATTTACCTAACAATTCCCTAGGAATAATATGAGACTGCAGAAAAAAACTCCCACAGGATGGTCCAGACATGAGGGTGTGAAAACTGAAAAGTTCTTTCCACACATCTCAAATAAAAACACAACAATACGATCTCCCAGGAGTAGACCTAGACGTCCTGAAGCAGAGGAAGTCATCTTTTTTTTTTTTTGTTGTTTTTTGTATGTATTGAAACAAGAGATCTGATCGAGTTTAGAAACATATACATTTGTGTTTTCTAAACACAATTTAAAGTTTATTAAAAGTTTTGTGCACGTAATAAAGCTTGATTTATATTCGGATTTTACTAATCTTGGATCCGGTCCTCTGTGTTTCTGCGCCTGCGCGGGTTGCTGTCACGGTTGCCTAGAGACCGACGCCATACTCCAGCGCTGAAAGGCCCGTGCAGACGTGAGTGGGAAGAGAGAAGAGACACATCATTAAGTGGACAGCATCAGTGGAGATGATGACAATGCAAATTGTATTAAAAAAAATTTAACAAAGTTTTCAATGGCGCACGGTGGGCTGTCCGACGTCAGACAGCTAGTGTCAG